GAAAGTCTTGGTCAGATTGTCCTGGATCACGTAGGCATTCCTGTGGGGATGATATACACAGAACCAATCCGGATGGATCTGACACCTGAACAGAAGCACTGGAGCTGTACAGGTCTTAGAGGATACCGGGTAATCCTCAGTGGCTTAGAGGAAAGCCAAGGTTTCTTAGGTAAGATAATAGGATTTTTCTACGTAGGACCATGAATAGAATTGGAATGGCATAGAAGAAACACCTGATAAATTAGACTTTGTTCAGTTAAGAATGAATGCCTAGCAGGGGGCTAGAGAGATGGCTCAGAAGTTAAGAGCACTTGCTACTCTTGTCGATGACCTGAGTTGTGCGAGTTTATGTGTAAGAGTGTTTCACCTGCACATATATATGTGCACCACATATGTGCAGGGTCCGTGGAGGTCAGAAGAAGGCCTGGGGTTACAGGTGGTTGTGAGCCACCATGTAGATGCTGGGAACTGAACCCAGGCCCTGTACCAATGCAATCAGTACTCTTAATCACTGAGCCATCTCTCCAACCTCGTATCTATTTTATTTTTAAATATGTGTCAGGTGGTGGTATATACATCTGTGAGAAAGATTTCCATAGAGTTCAGAAGAAAGCATTGGATCCCCTGTAGCTAGAGTTCCAGGCGGTTGTGAGCCACTTGATGGAGATGCTGGGAACAAAAGCTGATTCTCTGAAAGAGCAATATATGCTCCTAAAAGCTGAGCCCTTCTCTTCAGCTCCCCTTCTTGTATTCTGAGACAGGCCTGGAGTTCACCAAGGAGGCTAGGCTGGCCGGCCAGGAAGCCCTAAGGATACACTTCTCCCTGCCTCCCCAGTGTTAGCATTACAAGAGCATGCCACCATACTTGGTTGTACTTTTAAGTGGCCCAGTGTCCATAGAAAAGGAGACTGGATCACAACTTATTACTCAGCTTTGCAAAGGACCAGCTGCAAATCCTCCTGGGCTCAGGGATGAGATGCAGAGGATGAGACAAGAGAATACTGCTGGGCGGTGGTGGCGCACACCTTTAATCCCAGTGCTTGGAAGGCAGAGGCAGGTGGATCTCTGTGAGTTCGAGGCCAGCCTGATCTATAGAGCAAATTCCAGAACAGGCTCAAAAGAAAAAATAAATAAAAAAAAAAAAATAAAATAAAAAGAAGAAACAAGATGCCAAAGGGAAGAGCTGTCTATGCTGTGGATTTCTTAGCAGGGAAGGTGGTCTGTTGAGGATTAGCCAGGAGGGAAGTGGAGAGGGAATCCATTGTTCTGTGATAAGGTTTGGAATGCTTTGAACTGAGTGTTGGACAGTTCCTTTTGTCAGAGTGGGTCGGCCAAGACGCATTTCTGATTTTATGAACCTTACCAAAGACACTAAAAATCCACTGCCTGGCATTGCTCATGAGGCCAGTGCAGGTGTGTGTAGCTGGTATGGAGTCTGCTGGGGGAGGAGTGCTGAGAGCTGATCTAGTGAGGAGCCCCCTTGGCTAGAACCCGCAAGCTCACGGGAAACCACAGTGGGACCTCCTCACAAACCCGCTGCCTTGTTGGGCGACCGTGGGGCTGACCCTCTCCTACCCAAGTTTAGCATATGTGTTTGCTCCTTTATATGTCCGGCTGGCCAAGGCTTCCGAGCTGAGTTCCGTAGAGTGTGTGGAACACGAATGCACGGTTCGCTGTGAATCAGAGCAGGGCCCTAGAGATCACGGTAGAGCCGTGACCCTTCCAGCCATCCCATCTTCAAGTGAAAGTTAGAGTCAGACCCTGAGGACAGCTAAGAGTCATTCATACCTCAAGAACTGGTTCCCACTAGCCTGAGGTAGGGTCTGTGCAGGTAAGGCAGGTAAGGTAGGTCCTTATTGGGAAGGAAACCAGCTGGGTGGTCTGGAACTGTCTTGGGTATCCTCACAAGGTAAAGCGAGGAAAAAGTGGGGGCTCCAGTGCTGGCTGGTTGCCAGCCTGCAAGTCCCTGTTCAGGCTCAACTTCCACCCGTTTGACCCCTTTCACTGCCTTGTGAAATATGTCACCATCCGAACTCCCTGTCCATCACTTCCTTCCCCCTGCCTGTTGGAGCGAAGCCCGCGTCTGTCTCTAGATAGGGAGGTGTCTCATCTGCCAGGAGCCGTGTGCTCCTGGAGCCTGGAGCATCTGTTTCCCTCAGTTCCACGTGGTCGGAACTGTAGACAGCAGCTCAGCCTCCAGCCTCGCTCTGCTGCGTGACAGAAGTCTGCCTGACTGAAACCCTCACCCGGCCCAGGAATCTGGAGGGTAGAGTGGCAGGGCCAAAATCTGGCTCAGAGCCCGGAGAGGCAGGGGAAATGATTCATGTTATCTCTGGTGACAGTTTCCAAAAGACAGACAGACGGACCCACTGTTGGGTCAGCAGGAAAGACCACAGACGTTCTGAGGTGAGCCAGAACTCTAAGTGTGAGCCCCGCATGACAGGAGGTGAAGTGCACCTAGGGTCTGCACCCCATTTGATGATGCCCCCCCATATCCCCGTACAGGCAGGGAGAAGAGTCAGGAAGAGTCAGGGCTGAGGCCACAGTGTGTGTGTGTGTGTTTGTTTATGTGTATGTGCGTGCACATGTTTGCATGCAAGCACGGGTGTATTATTTGGTGTGCAAAATGGCCACCATTAAGAATTTTCTGGGCCTAAAAAGAACAAGTGGCTTTTTAAAACTTAAATTAATGGGTCAGTGAGATGACTCAGGGGTAGCTGCTTACATGCAAGACTTAAGTTAGGTCTCTGGAGTTCAAATAAAGGTGTGGAGAGAGAACGGAGTCCACGAAGGATCTGGTCTGACCACACACACTGTGGCACACACACCTCCCCACCATGTGTTCACATACACAATAACAATTAAAAGTTATCAAAAAGAAGAACTTGAGCAGAGCATGGTGGCACATCCCTGTCCACATAGCGCTCAGCAGGCTAGTGAGGCAGGAGGATTGTCATGAGTTTGAGGCTAGCCTGGGCTCCATGGTGAGTTCTAAGCCAGCTTGGGCTACAGAGCTGAGACTGTCTTGAAAAAAAATCAAAGAACAATTTTTTTTTTAAAAAAAAGATTGGTGCTGGTGTGGGTATTCAGAAGGCTCTAGGGTCAGTGGCACTTCTCCGTGGAACTGCTGTAGAATGACTTGTCCTTTGTTAGCCTTGTCCTCTGACGGGCATTTGTGACTTGGGACGGAATGTGGGATACCCAAGCGCCACCCTTCCTGAACCTTTGCCTCAGTCTGTGGGATCTCACTGCGACTCAGCTCGGGGCTCGCTCTCTGCACCTCTGAACCCCAGAGCACAGTTACCCCCCCCCTCCGAGGCAGTGGACCTGGGGTGACTGAGTAGGACCTCCTGCATGGGTTGGGGAGGGTTCAGAGTGAAGGATGAGATGGCTGGAGTGTGGGGCAGATGTCTTATCATCAACTACAAGACAGATGGAAAGGTGGTCTGGGGACTGCACTAGATCCAGGGGTGCCTGGGAACCCCTAGACACACAGGCAGAGGCCGCAGAGCCCTCTTACAGGAGGTAACTGTAGTGGTTTGAATTATAAATGTCCCCCAGTCTTGGGCATTTAAATACTTGGTTCCCAGTTGCTGTCTGTGTTTGCGAGGTGTGTCGCTGGAAGCCGGTTTTGGGAGTTTAAAGGCTCTTCCTTAAACTCTCCAAGCCATTAGACATGAAAGCCGTTTTCTGTGCACTCTCCCTGCTTCCTGCTGGGGTTTAAGATGTAAACACTGCACCCACAGTCAGGAAGCAGAGAGAGGAGGGCGGATGCTGGTGCTCAACTTGCTTTCTCCTTTTTATTCAGTCCACCCATTAATTATTCAGGACCGCATTTAATGGGGTCCCACCCCATTGAACAATGCCTCCCACAGTTGAGGCGGGTCTTCCCACCTCAGCTGAGCCGTTCTGGAGATTTCCTTCAGGCGCGCTCAGAGCTTTGTCTCCTGGGCGATTGTCTTAGTTTTCTGTTGCTGTGAGGAGACATCATGGCTTATAAAAGAAAGTGTTGAATTGGGGGCTTGCTTACATTTTCAGAGGGTGAGTCCATGACTCTCATAGTGGGGGACATGGCAGCAGGTCAGACAGCATGGTGCCGGAAGAGTAGCTGGGAGTTTGCACAAGTTGGAGGTGGAGAGAGAGGGAGAGAGACTGAAAGACTGACTGGGCTTAGCAGGGGCCTTTGAAACCTCAAAGTCTACCTCCAGGGATGACACACCTCTTCCAGTAAGGCCACACCCTCTAATCCTCTCCAAAACAGCACTACCACCTAGGGACCAAACATTCAAATAAGTGTGTTAGAGCTATTCTCATGCAAAGCACAACTGTGATTGTCATGATTGTCTGCACCCATCAGGTTGGCAGTCAGTGTTATTTAGTTGTCATGTGTAGCTTGGAGAAAGCCAAGGAGTTGTGAGCAGAATCAAAACTTCCCCGATTTTTAAGTTGGTCTTTGCTTTCGTGGGTTCTGGCTTGAGAAGGTACACCATGTATTCCATGTCTCCCTCCATTTCGCCATTCTGTTTAGTGTCCACAATGTGTGAGAGGCAGCTGTATGTGGGTCTTGTACCCTTGATCGTCATGATGGGGCCACAATGATGGTGGAGACCTTGGGCTAGCTTCTCAGAGCATTTGGGGATCCTGGGCGCAGGCTAAGATGGAAACTCTGTCCTGGGGTAGGAGCTGGACATTTCTGCTGACCAACCAAAGAGGATCCCAGTGCAGAAAGGTGTCTCACACCAGGGCCTCTGGCTGGTGTGTCTCCAGCATTCACCCCAGGGTTGGAGCATCCCTGGAGAAGAAAGAGTCTTTGAAGACAAGCAGGTCCTTGTAGCCGCCTCTGCATAGTCCGATTGTAGCTCGCTGAGGCACGCCACTTTGTAGATGGGGGGTCTGAGCCGACGTGGGTGACTTTGCCAGGTGCCATGGAAATGCTTTGCAGCCCCCCAGTTCAGGTGGCTGGACCTTTCTTCCTTGCTCACCCACATCTCCCTGTGCAGCGAACATGACCTGGGTGAGGACATTTACGACTGTGTCCCGTGTGAAGATGAAGGGGATGACATCTACGAAGACATCATCAAGGTGGAGGTGCAGCAGCCCATGGTGAGCGCCCCCACCCTGCCCTTGCTAAAGGAACCTGAGCCTCCCTTGGGGAGCTGCCTGAGGACAGCCCCCCACCCCCACCCCGGGCTCCTTTGCAGTGTCCTTCCAGCCCTGTCGGGACACTCTGAGGTGCCCTAGATGCGACCTATGATGGACAAGCCCCTCCAGCAGAGTGACTACAAATTTTTCCCTGGACGGTTCTTAGTCCTTCCTATCCAGAGAGCCTTAAATAGTAACTCCGTGTTCAGGCTACCACAGTGTGGCTGAGCACACATATCATTGTACCTCTTTGTGCGGAGAATGGGGAGACCGGTGCGGGCGCCGTCGGCCAGCTGCATGCCTTTTATGCTGAAGGGTATTTATTTCCACACAGCTTGGCTAATGATCTTGCGGACGATGTTTTGTGCCAGCTCCGGCTTATTGCCAACAGCTGCTGTGTGGAAGGTGGGGGGGGGTCCATCCTGGAGGGATGCAGAGAGGGGGCTCTGGAGGGGCAGGCCACAGCTCCCATGGACCCCTGAACGCTCCAAAGGTGGGCACCGCGCCACTTGTCAGTCGCGGAGGCTTTTGACGCATTTGCGTTCCCGAAGAAGTGGGAAATTTATCAAAAGCCAATATTTCTGTCTCCCGTCTGTGTGGAAGCCTCCAGCTGGTGTCAGAGAAACAAAAAGCTGGGAGAAGAACCCTGAAGAGCCTAGGGAGCCTTTCCCAGGCTGATGGCACCCTGCTGTGTCCCCAGCTTGTGAGGAGAGATGGAAGGCTATACTTGGGACATTTGCAGCGTCTCGCGCCACCCTTAAGATCATACACATTTGTTCCCGAGAGTCTAATAATCACTCTCCTTCCTGGCGTGTTGAGGGCACCTGCTCCAGAGCAGGTGGGAGAGGCTCTGCTCTTCAACCTTGCAGGCAGCCTGACTGGGGCTTCCCCAGAGCCGGCCCCTCATGGCCTAGGAAATACCACCAGGTTGATTAAGGGCTCACCACTTCAAAGTCACTGCAGGATGAGTGCCCCGAGGGTAAATGTCAACACCCAGGCACAGGGGCCTGGGGCATATTTGAAAGGTCCCCATGCCCATCTCTCAGGCTGTCTTGAGAAGGAGCCTCTTCCAGGAGCCTGTCACTGTCCCTGGTCCTGAAGAATCCCAGGGCTGGGTCATGCTTGCCCATGTCCCGAAGGACAGCCCATGTTCTAATGTCCAGGGCTGATGCTGAATCTTTGAAGCTGTCTGATCCATCCACAGATGGGAAGTAGATTTATTGTTGTGAGGGGCCTCTGAGATAAACAATGGGTCCCCCCACCACACACACCTTCTCATTATGTTTGGAACTAGCTGAATCAAACTATCTAAATGGGAGGTAGTTAAAATGCTCCTTCTATGAAGTAAGATAAAGGCAGGTGTTGCTTCAGAGCCCAGGCATGGGAGGACCCACCAGGAGGCTCTCTCTCATCCTTCTGTTGGGTCCTGACCTTTCCTCAGCAGGCTCTGGGAAGGGCTATGACTTGGCTGCTGAGGCTAACAGTGGGGGGTGGGCTGTCAGTGGTGTCCCTGACTTCCCAAGCATGCTTGAGGACAGTGGACACTGCTGACTGGTTCAATCTTGTTTGCTCCTCCATGCATTCAGATCAGATATATGCAGGTAAGTTGCAGGTAAGACCAGGCCAGGTGGGCTCCCGCCAGCTCTGTCTTTCCCACCTGTCGGGAAAGTAACCGAGGCCATGGAGAAAGCTCAGATCCAGGCTCTTAGTGACACACTGTCAGGCACAGAGGGCTGTATAGGGTTTCGAGTCGAGATCGCCCCATGGATGTCGTCCCCGCCCCATCCCTTGCAGCTGCAGATAGTGATGGACGTCATCAGGTCCCATGTGGCACAGTGCTTGAGAGTCAGTTCTGTGGCACAGCATAGAGGGGCCTCTTAGGATCAACAAGAGTATGCCTGGGTGGGTACCTACTTGTTGAATGTCACTTTTTAGAGGTTTGGGGGCAGACCAGGCTCTCCGACCTGCTTTGTTCCACTCTGCTTTGCTCCACTCTGTCAGGCCCTGTTCTCCCCTCTGTAGAGGTATGTCCCCAGGTGGTTCACTGATGAGCTGTTAGCTTCAGCTGGCTTCTCAGGGATGTCTGGCCTGTGGGGCATTTGATATTGGGAAGCCAGAATGGGTCAGCTGTGGGTCTCCAAGGGGTTGGCCAATGCCACCTGCTGGACAGGGCTGACCCACTCACACAAGTAACATGAACACACCTCACCTATATGTAGTAGGTTCCTCTCCTGAGGCCTTCCCTCCAGTCTGGCGAGGACTCGAGGTTCCAAGTCAGGAGTTGATACCCAGGAGTCTAGAAGCTTCCGTGCCTTCCTTGATGTTCTCATTAAGTCCTGTCCTATCCACGTGCCTCAGTTTCCTCAACCACAGATCATGGGAAGGGCCTGTGACCTCACTGCCCACTCAGTCATCTCGTAGCCATACCGGGAAGGTGTCATCCTGTTGTGTGGTGCCGGTAGCCAGGACCTCATGGCTGGCAGCGGGTACCGGGGTGTCCAGGTCGCAGTATCCTGGCTCACATCTCGTGTCTCCTCTAGAAAATGGGCATGACCGAGGATGATAAGAGAAGCTGCTGCTTGCTGGAGATCCAGGAGACCGAGGCCAAGTACTACCGCACCTTGGAGGACATCGAGAAGGTGAGCCTCGGCTTTGCTCGGAGCCCCAGGGCTCAGGGGCTCAGGGCCTGTTCTCGTTTTCTCTCTGTTGCTGTGACCAAAGGAACTTAGGGGAGAGGAGAGAGTGTTCATTGTAACTTCGCAATTACAGACACCATTGACAGAAGTCAAGCAGAAACTGCGGAGAAAAGCCGTTTGCTGACCCGCACAGGCTCGCGCTTAGCTGCTTTTTTACACAGCCCAGGACCACCTGGGCAGAGGCTGGTGCTACTCACAGTGGGCCCAGTCCTCCTGCATTAATCAGTAAGCAAGCCAGCCCCCCCACAGACAGGTCCATAGGACCATCCGAGCTGGGCTGTCCCTCCATTAAAACTCCCTTCTCAAGTGACTCTGGACTGTGTCACGTGGACACAACACACTCCACCTTGCCATCATGTTCTCACACAGAGGAGCCTCCCCTCGTTCTGTGGAAAGCCCTCTAAGCTCTCCGGCATGTCTTCTCAGAGTTCCCGTCCAAGCCGGCCATGGTTGCAGCTCAGCTTTTGAACATGTGAGGCCAGATCTTGAGCTAAGTTCTCTAAGCCTCTCCTTGCCCTGTGGGGGCGTACTGGTGCCTTTGTTGGTGGCCAGGAATGTAGCACATTTGATGTGATTGATGAGCCTTGTGACTCGATGCCACCCAAGCCAAAGTACTGCCAGTGCCTTATACCCATCCGCCTAACCCCCGTCACCACCCAGAAGGCCTGGCTTCCGGATCTTCCTGACACGTCTGTGTCCCTGTGTAAACAACAGTGCTATTGCCAGGATCAAATCCTCCTGACTGTTCTCCGGTGTGGAGCTGACCCAGTGTGGCCAGAGTGGCCATCTTGGCTGTTCTTTAGTGTGGAGTGGAGCTGGCCCAGTACAGAGTCGCGAGAGAAGCCTCCAGCTGAGGATCCTGGGATTCACAGCCCCTTGGCCCAGGCTGCCCTTACCATGGCTTCCACGGAGCTGTGCTGAGGACATGGGTTGTAGTCTTGGTTCCAGCCTGCCTTGTCCACTGTACAGTCCCACACTGCCCTCTTCATGAGCTATCCAGTGAGCACCGGGCACCTGCCAGTGCCTGGCAGCTTTGGCTTTGATTGTGACAAGCCCCCTACACACTGCGTGACAGCGTAAACTTCTTCCTTCCAGAACTACATGGGCCCCCTGCGGCTAGTGCTGAGTCCGGCGGACATGGCTGCCATCTTCATCAACCTGGAGGTACGCTCTCTGGCATTTTCCTGACACACTTGTAGCTGTCTCACTCTGGAGACTGTGGCTTCAGGAGGCAGAAGAAGAGGTATCTGGTGTGGCCTGAGAGTTTCCCATGATCTGTGTTAGTTGTCAGCTGAGCCTAGATTCGCACCGCTCTGGAAGGGACGTGAGACCCACGGGACTATAAGCAAGGCTTCTGGCTAGCACGGAGGGAAGTGTGCCCCACCCCTGCTCTGCAGACCTGCTCTGCAGGCATCTGACCACATATGGGCACCAGATGCCCCTGTGTGAAGGTTAACCTGTGGAGGCAGCTGGCTTACAACTCCAGATGCCACGCATGAGTGGACGCACTCCAGAGCATGCTGCCTTACCGTAACCTTCAGTTCGATCAAGGACTGGGGTGGGGGAGTCGGAGACTCTTACTCTCCCGCACAAGATTGACCAGAGTGTCCCCTTTACTGTCTGGGCTCCAGCCAGGACTAATGACTTGGGACAGGAAAGAAGCTGGGAGGGGGGAGGGTTGGCTAGTGTGCTGTGCACTGTCCTGTGTCCGCTGTGAAGCCTGAGGAGCCATGCTTCCTCCAGGCCAAGGCGACACCGTAGGGGCGTTAGGACTTGCAGAAACTAAAAGCTGAGCGGCCGCAGGCCTCTCCATTCTTTTCAGCAGCAGGGAGGCCTGCAAGGTTGTTAGCTGAGAGCAGCCACACTGCTTTCTCCATCCTCTTCAGGCAGCGAGTCTGTCCTGAGGCAGCTACCATGTGCCCCTAGGACCCAATTCGGGTCCGGGAAGCTCCCTCCACTGCACAACTGGAATGTGCTCCAGCATCTTTGTGTGCCAGGCACTGTGACAGGGGTATCCCACCTTTGGCTTGGTGAAGGGCAGAGCCTTTGGCCCAGGACGGCTTTGAACGCAGCCTTAACACTAAATTTTAAGTTTGCCTAAAATATTATGAGGACTTCTGAATTTGCAGTTTTATATTTTTGTAGTTAAGTTGTGTGCCAGATCTGCTAATGGCACTGGGCAGCAATGTCAAAAAGTTAGACACGCCTGCCAGAAACTTCCAGCTGAGTGATGCCAGCCTTCACAGGCTTGGGTGAACACCAGCAGCACCTCCTGGGTGTGTTTGGCCAGCGGGGCCTGGCTGTGCCTGGCTGTGCCTGGCTGTGCCTGGCTGTGCCTGGC